GGTAAATCTTTCCATATTATGAATATTTCGTAAATTTACCTGTTCAACGACATTTTGTGTGAGTTCTCCGAGTAATGCACGCATGGTTCGAGGACATAACTCTGTCATTGGTTCGTAACGACTATGACTGTTCTGACTCTGTCCATATGCTCGTGGCTATGCTGCTCCTCATATCGCTCGATCACAGACTGGACTCCTCCCTGACTTGCTTCCTTATCAGATTTCTGAGGCATATTGTTTCACCTTTTGTATCTTCAACACCAAACACCAATGTCTCACTGGGCGTGCCAAATTGTTTCGCGCGGGTAGTCGCTAACAATTAAAAAGAAAATCAGACAATTGTATAAAGAACAAACATCTTGAGACAAAGTCCCAAAAAGGGTTGTTTTATTGGTGATGACTTTACAATTGGAACTAAACAGAATGCCTCCAAGAGGCGCAAGCACACGAGTACTGAAAAGAAATGTTTAAGTTTAAATTAAGAAATTGAAATTACATATTCTCTGTTTGAGAGTGTTTGATTTGGGGTCCTTTGCTCTATGTCTTCTCTTCCTTTTATATTTCCTTGATGATTTCTTTGTGATCAACCGCTTAGGAACTGCTTGATTGCTTTGTAACTACCCACTTTCTTTATGGTGGCTAACTCGTCGTGGAACTGCCGTATCAAACTGCTGCCACTACTCTTTGTCGTCCAATCGTCTTCAACTGAACTCCTTGAATCGTGGAACGTGATAAAGTTACTCAATAACTGCTTCCCAATCGTCTTCAACTGAACTCCTTGAATCGTGGAACGTGATAAAGTTACTCAATAACTGCTTCAATAACTGTACTTCTGGATAACCATAACATCTTATGTTTGCTAAGATCCTGGGCGATTCGAAGGTTTGGGCGAGAACAGGGTCATAGCTCTGGGCGACTGTAAGGCACTTCATTCGCTCAGATCTTGGGCGTCTTGCAAGCTTGGGCGATGATGTTACCGTGTTTGTGAGCTTCCACTGCATTCATTAATAACTCTATCTAGGCCTCTATCCTGAATTGTCCAGTTGGGCTTCATTCTTTGAGCTATTCGACTTGAACTGCGCTTTTAGTGTGTCAACACTATCTTAATATCATTTTTTTCTGATCGAGCCTTTATCACACCGATGGCCCACCATATTTTCAAGACTACCTCAATCAAGCGAGGCCAACACCAGCATCACGAGGGCTCGGGGTAGTCCACCACATTAGCATTAGAAAGAGTGTGACAAAAAGACTTGTCATGTTTTTTTCTCTTCGTGATTTAAATGTCAAAATGCATTTTGAGTTTGGCTAAATACATTCAACCCACATATTTTAATAAATAGGCTACATTTTAATTGTATGAAATATTCACAACCTTCACATATTATCATATTTATGTCTCAAATTTTTTTTGCGTTGCATTTATATATTCAAATTAACTTAAATTGTTCCTGCTTATGATTTCTTTGCAAAATTTTCTTTAAAATAAAGTAAACTATCATTTTTCTCCATTGTATTTTAAATAAGCAAAATAAATAATAATGCAAAAAGTGTTATTAAATGTTATACTATCATTTTAAAGCAAGTTATTAATATTTTCGACCGAAAACCACAATTAAGGACAATATTTTATGATCAATGAAATATTAAAAATAAAAAGTGAGGAAGAAAAAGTTAAGGATATAAGTGTGATAATGAATAAAAAATTATGATGTTTAGCCCTCATTTGACAACAATTATTCGGAGAAAATAAAGTTTTACATAGTTACTTTTAGAAGAATGTGTGATTAAAAAATAAGAATAATTTAAACTTATGTGCAGAATTTTTTATTGTATGAATGTGTAGTTAAAAATGAGTAAAAAAAGTTTAAAAATAATTATTGCCAAACAAGGTTTAGTGTAATTAAATATTGTGTATTTATGAAAAAAATGTGGTGTGAATATAACCACCCTTTGAATTTTATGTTATAAGTTTAATCTTATTTTCAAATTTTCATTTTTAAAAATATCAAATCAAACAGCTTATGTGTATTTTGCAAAACTAAAAATAAATTGAAAACAATAAACCAAATGCACCCTTAATTTTTAGTTCTTCAATTGAACCAATTCAATTCAACAACGATAGCACTAAGCATGTGTGGTTTTAAATTAAAAAAACCATCCATTTTAACTAATATTAAAGATATTTTTGGCCCAGTTTTTATTAGATTATAAGTGGTGAATCGTACAAAATGTTTGGATAATAAATAAATAAATAACATGAGTCTTTGAAAATATGTGGATAAAAATATATTTATGATCAATTTAAAATTTTGGACAAACTTCAATGACGTTTGATTAAATTAACTCATTTAATCCCAAATTAATAAAATATGTAGTTGAAAACCTAATAAAGTTGTGAATATAATGAAATTTGTGATTGAAAATGAATAGGGCTGGACATGGTCCGATTCGGTTCGGTTCTCCCGATCCGAATTTTTTGGGTATTTAATAAGTGGAACCGTTGGGTCCAAATTTAATCACGGAACCGTTCGGATTTGGTTCGATTCGGTTCGGTTCCATTCGGTTTCGTATTATAATTAAATTTTTTAATATATACAAAGTTACGTTAATTTAATTAATGATATGTTCAATATTAGCTCTTACAAAATAACGTAGTTCAATCTTATGTGTTTCACGTCTTTCTTTGCTGAATTTTTCATAAATTTGATTATTAAAATCACAGAAAGAAAAAGATAGCGAACTCAAAATAATAAAGAGAGATGTTGTGGAGCTTTAATTCAATTTTCTCTGGTAGAAACGATACTACAATAGAATAACAGATTTGGATAAAATTGAGATCAATTTAATTAAATTGATTTTGAACTGAAAATAGAAATAGAAAAATCATATTTTGTGATTTGAACTAAATTAACTAGTTAACAAATTTATTTAGAAAAAATAAAATAATTTTGCTTATTTAAAATAAATTAATTAAAAAAATTACGAAGATTCGATTCTTATTCGGTTCCTTCGGGTCTTGGACTAGAATCGAGAACCGAACCATACCCGTCGGTTCTTGATTCAAATATCCGTTCGGGTATTTAACTTGAGAAGAACCGACAGGTTCGGTTCGGTCGATTCAGTTCGAGAGTTTTGTCCAACCCTAAAAATGAGTAAGAAAAAATATGTTCTTAAAAATGAAGATCAAATAGGAATTTAGAAATAGTTTTAACTATTGAATGAACGCCACTACTAAAAAAAACTCAATATATTGAAGATCAAGTTGTTGCGAGGATAGGAGGTTGTTGAAACAATCATAACAAGATGACAAATTCTTGACTCAAAAATCTTAACTCACCCATTCACAAAAGACTTCGACTAATTATTTTGAATTCCAACCCAGTTTTTCCTGACTAGCTAATTTGCTTACGATCACTCACGCCAGGTGAGGGAAGGTGCAGTCGCCCAGAAACATTTACACTTGCAATTGCAGATGATTAAGGTACATATTCTTCTAAACAACTAAGGATTTATTTCTTGTTACAAACATTTTTCTTCTTGGCAGTTGTTTTCTTCTTGGCAGCCGCTTTCTTCTTTGAATTTTTGAACCCCATTCCACTCTCCTATCAACAAATCGAACATAAAGTCACAATGTTATTTAAGATGCTGGAATACAGATTCTCAATGCCATGTGCCCACAATAATTCATCAAACAGCAGAGTCGCCATGGAAAAGGTTGCTGGACAGGATCTATTCTAGCCAATCCACAATAATGTTCATTCTCTAACCGATTCAGAAACTAAGCTGGAAACATATAGGGAAAAAGAGAAAACGAAAATAGCCTAATGATACAACTCAGGCCGACCAATAGAAATACTCCACCCTTGTCATATCACACTAGATAGTTATCATATTCATGGATTAGGATTCGCAGTCCAACCAATTGGGAGAGGATCAATATATTTCTTTTCGGGAAAATAAGACAAAGAAGCAGAACTATACGTCAGGAAGCATAAGCAACCAAGCACATACGAAAAGACACCATAAGAAATTACCTTTCTATACTGGCGGTAAGCAATTTGACCCCTCAACTCTTGCCCACTTTTGTTCACATAAACCTGATAAAGATTTAACAATTTGATTAGCAATACAGTTGGTAAATAAAGATGAACAAAAAAATATTAGAGTATTTTTTTCTTTTTTTTGGTGTATAAATGAATATCTTAGCCTACATTTGGAAAGAATTTCTAAACCATTTAATTTATAAATAAATAGAAATGAGTGGTGGATAAGTTAATAGTACTTGTGGGTACATTGAAATGTGTAGTTAAAAATGAAGTTTATCCATTTATAAATTAGCCAAACGGAGGGTTAGCTGTTTTCTACTTGAGCTCATTTTTGACAGAAAGACATACCAGTTGGTTTTTTATGCGTGAACACATTCCAACAATTAAAAATAGACATACTTCCAAATCAAACCATATTTTTCCTATAATTCTTACAGAAACTAGTCTGGTTTAGGAAGACATCGTCTTTGATAGATAAATTTTTCCATAGCTGCAGTTAGAGCTACATTAGTGAATCACACTTGCAGTACTGGATTACTTCTGAAGTATCAAGTATTGAAAAGGGAAAGGAGAACATTAATTACAGAAACGTGAACCATATTGACACGTAAAATATGAAATTCAACTTACTCTTTGCCCATTTGAGCCCGTGTACCAGCCGGCAGGCTTACCAACAGCATGTACCCTTCTTTTACCAGCATCTTTCGGATTTCTAGCACAACTTTTAGGATTCACCCAGTTCTCAGATTCTTGTGAGATCTCGCCTACACTTGACTTTTTTACATTTTTTTGGGTCCTTGTGGAGCTTGTCCCAACATTGTGGTTCTTAGTTGTTTGTCTTGAGCTTTCTCCATGACTAAATTGGCCCCTATACAAGACAAAGTGTGCTAGTTAAATGAGAACTCGAAGGAACCTACAACTTAAAAAGCGTGACCTTAAATCATTACATGTAATCAATAACTGAAGCATTCTGCTGCCTGTAACCTTGGGAGTTCCCTGCTCCTATAGGAAAGAAATGGGGCAATCGATCCTGAACTAGTTTCTGGATCCTAGGATCCATGTGGAAAAAATAGCGATGAGCGGGAGGAAGAGAAGCCATATCCCGTTGTTGCTCGTTGTCTTTGTCAATAATTTGAGGTGAGTCCTTATAGTTATTTTGTGTTCTGCTCTTATCTTTCACAGATCCAAAATATTCTCTACAAACCTCATCAAAAGCAGGTGTAGGAATGTGAAAACTCTTCTCTGAGCAGAAATCTTTCCAGAAGTCTTCATTTTCAGATGCTTTTTTTGTCCTCTGCTCACTTGAAGCTGCATGTTGCTTGTGATTTGATTGGCTGTTCTTCAAAGGTGAATTTGAAAGATTTGCTTCTTTTCTCACATCTTCAATGGCAGAAGGATCATCGGAATCAGAATCAATCAACTGGAACCTTCTAAGAGGACTGACGGTTAACTTGGGAAAGATCAAATTACTAGTGCCTGTTTCCACATTTACAGAAGCCGAAGCACTTGAACCCTCTTTCTTTTTTGATTTCTGTTCACTTGAAACATGTGATTTCAAAATCCCAGGCCGACGAAATAGGAACTTTGAGCTGCTACACACAGAATTTGTCCGAAGATCACCTAAGATTCCAAAATTCAAAAGAAAAAAACAATTTGGTGACTATCAGTAATTAATATACCTATCAAATGTTTCCAATCCAATTTATTCAGCCTTTTCATTGGTTCTCAGGACAACAATAAATAAATCATTGAGCATCATATTTGTTAAGGGCATCAAGTTGCCATCATCATCAACAATTTTGACTATAGCACGGTAGAGTATCAAAATATATAAACGCAGCACTTTTGACGCATAATCAAGAAACGAAAATATTAACGGCCACAAGTTGCCACGAGCATTATATTTGTGCTTAGCATGTTTTGGGATTCTCTCAAACAATAAATTGTCTTTTGCGTATCAATCACCACTCACAAGAACAAATTTTGCACTAATCATGTTTAATGGCAGTATTCCCATATATCAAAGTGCAAACAGTACATACGGTTCGACGAAACAGTAGCTTTCATTTAAGAATAGCAATTGCCAACTGCAATGAACTCATACTTGTCACTAAATTTTGATGCAGTTTCCTGGAATATAAAAGTACAAAACACACGCCTCCAGTACAAAAAGATTGCACTAGAAGAGGCAAGAGCTATTTGAATGATCGGAAAATGTTTTGCATAGAACTAAAGAGGCTTTATTCATTAGAGTTAAGTGATCTCAATATAACACGAAGGATAGGAAAAGTAAAACTAGCATTAATTCACATGGCCCACTTCAAATTTCAACGTTTCCATATATTCAACAAAAAAACAAAAGCATAAACAAAGTCAAAAAATGAATTTTTGATACCAGGGGGCCTATCCTCCTCGGAAGAGAAATCCTCAATCTCATCATCCACGTTACGACAGGTATTTTTCTTGGGCTTGATATTTTCCTCCTCAACCTTAGGCCCGCACCGAAGCCTTTTGTGGGCCCGAGGCGGGTCCGGGACAGGAACTTTCACCAGCGATTCAAAATCATCGTCCTCTACTTCGGTTGGCGGGAGATTGGCAGTGGTGGAAGGAAATGTAGCTTGTTGGGGCGATGGTTCGGGTCCAGGACCCGAATCGAGGTCAAAATCAAGCCCTAGGGAGAACGACGGAGGCTCAAAATCAAAATCCGCCATATGCGAAAAAAAATAAAAATCGATGGGCTTGGGATGCTTGTTTTGAAGGTAAAATCGGTGGGATTAGTGAAAATTTCCGATTTTTGCATTTGAATTTTACTGATTTGCGCCAAGAACTTGGAATGCGCGCTTAAGCATAAGCTCCAACTCACGAAGTGAACAAGGGCTTTAACTTGAGTGTTAAACCGTTGTATTTCGGCCCACCTCCGGCCTTTTGGACTCATAACGAGATAAAAATCATGGGGATAGCAGAGTTTAAATTGAGAAAAATTCACCTACAAACCTACGTTTAAAGAATAATTTTCAGAAAAACAAGGAGATTAAATTTTATTTCATAAATCAGGTAGTAATTAATTTTTAATAATTATAGTAGAAATTTAATTAAATCTAATATACATATTCACCTTACCCAAATCCCACCCCACACACCTACGCAAGCACCATTCCTTTCAAAGCCCCTAAATAATTTCTCTCACTGCTTATATTCCCTCTCTCATCTCTTCTTACCCAACCATTCCATACCTCAACAATCATTCTCTATGACTCTGGTGACTACCCACCTCGACGGTGCTAACGACAAATCCAACAACTCAACAATGCAAGATGAGGCTCCAATGATTTGTGTTGACAGAAAGTGGTAATTGTGTTAAAAGAGTGTTGACTTTAGAATGGCTTTTTCCAACGGACTAGAATGTGAAGCTCGAGGTGTAGAAAGCTTGGGACAAGGTGAGGCCTGCTTGAACATTACAGAGTTGTGACAATGGCATCGTGGATTTTCCGACATTGGTACCTTAGATTTGTGTTTACCACAGTGATTTGAAACCAAAAAATCTAATATTGGATGATAATGAAACTCTAACAGTGTCAGATTTTGGGTTGAGTGCACTGGCTACAACGATGAATGGTGGGTCAAGAAGATTCTTGGGTATCTTGGCATTTTTGTTATGATGAAGGGTATAGGAAAGATGGATTTGAACTTTTTAGGATAAACCAAGCGAATCACAATAAAAACAAGTTTAATTACAAATAGTCACATAAAACATGGGCATGGTCACGAACTATAAATCTGGTCACAGTATAAAGAGAATGTTTTCCAATTTTTGGAGATTTTTCTATCACCAAAGCCGAAGCAATTGTTTGAGTGGTAATATGAATGTTTATCAGAGCGATCATTAAAGCAGTAGCCGAAGCCAATTGCCATATTCGATAAAGAGGTGGAGGGAAGGTGGTGTAGTGAAGTGAGGTGACATGGGGTGAAAATAATTAATGCATATTATATTATAATTTAATATTTAATAAATTTATTTACCACCTCATTTTTTAAATATTTTAGTGAGTTTGTTATTTATGAAATGTAATATTTAGAACTAGGATTTATGTATTGATCCCTTAAATTAATTTAAATTAGTCGAATAAATTTTTTATTTTCACAATATATGGATTTACAGTTTAAATTTTAACTTAAACACTAAAACAAACACTTAATTAAATAGAATAATATATACCACTACATGTCATTTATCACCGAATGGGCATGGTGAAAGTGAAACTAAATAATCAAAATAGGATCAAATAATGGTTTTAGTTTTTATAAATTATTATAAACTTTTACCTTGGCTAATTTATAAATAATCAAATTTTATTTTTAATTATATATTTCAATGGATCAATAATTTTTTTTTCTGTGTATCTACACCATATTTATCTAAAGACTTTTTTTTAAATCTAAAAATATATTCAAAAAATTAAAAAAAATTCTAAAATGTATAAAATAAAAAAATAAAATCCAACAGAATTAAAAAAATTAAAAAAATTGGAAAATAAAATTATAAAAAATTAAAAAATTAAAAATAAAAGCTCTTAATGATTATTTACTTAAAAGTTCTAAAAAAATGTATTTAAATTAATACAAATAATATATTCTCACTGCAAATCATTAATTTTTATTTTTATTTCACATGCATGGCCAATTTAATTTATTATTTGTCTTTATTTTACATTAGTAATGAAATGAAATATACACCAACTTTAAAATGTATATATTACTTGATAATATATTAGTGAATAATTGTTTTATTTTACTTAATAGTCAAATTTAATGAAATAAAATGTCATAAGACAATTTTTTAAATTTTCAAACCAAACATTTTTTCTAGTTTTATGTTTTGAAAAATAATTTTCAAAGTGACACTTAGGAATCTTGAAGCAATAGAAAACTGAAAATGAATTCAAAATTGAGATACAAGCCAAACGATCCCTAACGAGCACTTGCTTGGTTTGTCTAAAAATAAATTTTAAGATAAAATATGCTATTAAAAATTAATAAAAAAATTTGAGTCACAGGAAAAGTGCGGTTAAAATATAATTTCTGAAAAACGAGATTTTGAAAGATTGGGTCAAACGTGTGCCAAGAATCATTTGAAAACCAAATGTTATACCCTAAACCGGTCGGTTCACATCCAGGAATAGGCGAATAGCCTATTGATGTCAAACCTGTCCAAGGAATCAGCATAGTGCATTTTTTCTTAATATTTAATGGGGGATTATATTGGCACATAATTTTTATTCGTTACGCCACAATTTAGTTGTCGTTAAATTTTTCAACCTTTGTTCATTGTAGCAATTATTTCCTTAAGTTTTTTCCGTCGTATTTATATTTTCAACATTTCATTAATTAATGCGTCTCGTCCTTAATGATGATTTATATGAAAAGATTTTCTTTCATACTTTAAAATGACAAAAAATATTTTTTCACGTGATTTATTTAGGAAAAATTCTAGCAGCTGTCTCTAAACTTTTAAATTTTTGCATACTTTACTCTAACCTTCAATTTGTACAAATGAACGTCTTTAATCTTTCAAAAATATGCAGTTAGGGGTCCAAATTGATGATCGACTGTTAGTTGACAAAAAAATGACCAAATTTGGTAAAAAGTTAATTTCATATTTATAAAAAACCAAATAAAATTAGGGAAAAAAACCAAAACGCCTCATCTTCCACTCATTTCCCCATCCTCTCAATCAAAGCCGTATATCCCCCCTTCTTCCTTTCCGACAAGCCATACCAGAAACAACCACCATCGCCAACTTCGACCCACACTGCCACCACTGCCACCACAACTCTCCTCACCACTACCCGCTATCGACGTCAACACCCTCCATTGCCACCTTCCAGCCCACTGTACATTTGAAAATAAACCAAAAGAACTCACTACGTAAATCAATACCACCACCACCACCACCACCATCTCAAATCACCAACCACCTCTGCAACTAAAACCCACGCCCAAGAGTGAAATGGTTATCAAATTTTATGCAATTTCGAAACCCCTAAAAACCCACCATCCACTATCGATTTCAAAATCGAGACATCAAAGATCTAAAAATCGGATCTCCACTAATCGCCACCAGCGCTAGTGATTATCAAATCCCCACAACCACAAATCGAATCTCATAAATGTCGAAAAATTAAAATCAAAACTATTACAAATTTTCAACGATTTTATGAAAGAAGAAAATTTTGATTTGGGTGGCGGCACCAGCCTTTGAACATCAATAAGGCATTGTGATCTGGCGATGCAATGGCAACAGGCCTTTGAATGGCCATTTTGACCATCAGTGTGGATGGGAGTGGGAAAGAATGGGGATGTGGATTTTGTTTCAAGGGTAACACATAACCCACTCTTGGGTTTTTCATAAGAGGGGGAAGCGGGTGAATTTACTCTCTTTTTAAAAAAAATATTGTTAAATTTGTGGATTTACCATTTTGTCCTCAACATATTTGGTCAAAATCATTTTTTTTATAACAGTCTAAGGGATGGATTCCATCCGTTTTGACCCCAGCTACATATTTCTGAAGGGTTAGAGATGGTCGTTGGTGCAAATTGAAGGTTATGATAAAGTCTAAACTGAAAATGTTAGGGATCGTTGCTGCAATTTTCCCTTTTATTTATTTATTTTTTAAAGATATGATGAAAAAACAACATATTTTACGTCATGAGAAGAGATCTAATAAATATCAGTGCTTAGCTTACGTTAAACATCGATAACATAATACACCAGTTAATTGATGAATATATTAATGGTAGGTCTCTTTACGTCATTTCAATGAACTTCTAAACATAAAAATATTATCATATACAAAATATATTAATTAATGTGAATTTTGAGAAGGGGAATGACATGAAAAATTATTAAGGATATAGGTGTTATAAGGATTAAAGATTAAGAACCTTAAGTATTAAAATGCTATGTAAATATAATTACCGATAGGAACAGAGAGAAAAATAGAAGAGAGAATAAGAGTATATATATTTGTGTGTGTTTTATTGAAAATCAAAACCTTATATTTTTAAGGAAGAATCAAGAATATAACGGTAATAATTTTTTGAGTTGCAGAAGTATAATTGTCATTCACTTATAAGTTTACACTATACAATATTTTCTTTGAATGACACATTATAAAATATATGTCTCATTAAAATCTTATTTGTTAAAAATCCAATTGGATAAAAAAAAACGTACAATTATTTTTTGGAATATTAAAAATAAATGCTGACTTATTAAAACATTACTAGAAAAATTAGGTGGGATAAAAACTAAGCCAAGAAAAAGAGGACAGCTACTCGCCAATATCAATCACTAAAAATCTTTGAATCTACGCATTTTAAACTAATTCTTGAATGTAATAATCAGCAATTCTTTTGTCAATAAATCGGTCGCATTGTCACTCGAGCAAATTTATTGGACATTGATGTCATCATTCTTTTGAAACTCATGTATATGAAAGAATTTTAAAGAAATATGCTTCGTCTTATCACTTTTGATATATCCTCATTTGAGCCGATACAAGCTGTATTGTCTTCACACAAAATTATTGGGCTATCTTTCATTGAAATTAACCTGCATGATGTTTGAATATGATGTGTCATGTTCCTCAGCCATGTACATTCTTGGCCTACTTCATGGATTGCAATAATTTCAGAATGATTTGAGAATGTTGCTATTAATGATTGTTTCACAGATCTCCATGATATAGTTATTCCTTTACGTATAAACACATATCATGTTTGTGAGTTAACTTTATGTAGATCAGAAAGACAACTTGCATCTGCATATCCCACTAAAATCGGATCCAGACTTTTGAGAATATAATAATCCTAAATCAAAGGTGCCCTTTTAGTTAACGAAAAATATGTTAAATATCGTTCCAATGTTGTTGGGGTGGTGTAAAGT